AGAGGTCAGAATGAAGCAGATGACAGAGGAGGTCGCGGCCATCTTGCTTGATTGAAGACGCGATGGAGGTCCTGTGTGCGGCGGATCCGGGTCCCTGAAGATGGCGGACGCGGCACAGGTACTCGTTTTATGTTTTGGAGTACTTGCACGAGTACTCATGCAAATACTCGGTATCGCGGCCGATACCGATGCTTGTATCGGTATCGGTGCATCCCTATTTAAAACATCTATGATAATTATGTGGATCAAAATATATTAAAAGATATTTTTATTTTCATATGACTGGATAAAATGGTGTTTTTGTATCTGCCTAGACCAGGGGCTCAAAGAGCCATTTGGACCCGTTTCGCACAGAAAAGAAAACACCGGGAGCCACAAAACCCTTTTGACATATAAAATGAAGATAACACTGCATGTATAGTTTTTTTTATCTTTATGCTATGTATAGCATGTATATAGGTATATGTGGGCTTAGTAACGCACCGGACTCAGGGCTTAGTAACGCATTGGACTCAGATCGGTATCGCAAATCGTATGTGCAGGAGAACCGATCTGCCCTGGAACAGGTGTTCGGTCCTGAAATGTCACTTCTATCTGACTGAGTGCGATCTCGCATTCCACCCCACTCACAAAATCGGATAGAAGTGACATTTCAGGACCGAACAGCTGTTCCAGGGCAGATCAGTTCTCCTGCACATACGATTTGCGATGACGATCTGCCCTGGAACAGCTGAGAAAGCGTTGGAATGCTTCACCCATTAGTGTTCATACGTTCCACCGTGGAAAAACTGGGCGGGATTACATTGAAATGTGTGACCACGTCACCGGTCACACATTCCAACCTAGTCACAAACTTTGGTAGAACAGCGGCCCTGTCTAATCATTTAATCAGAGAAATAGATTATAAAAAGGCAACATTACAGTGTAACGTTCCCCATTATAATCCACTTTCCTAATTACATTAAATAACATCACACAGTTTGCAGTTACACCCGTACCACCCCCGCCGCACCGGCTGCACTGGCGGTACTTCGGCCCCTGGACCGGAAGCTGCAGCAGAGGGATGAAAGAGCCACATGCGGCTCAGGAGCCGCAGGTTGCTGACCCCTGGCCTAGAGGATAGCTTTATTACAGAACTGTATTCTGAAGTGCTTAAGATGAGGATGAGAATCCCATGTTCCCGCAGATCTGGGTCATCTCCAACACCATCATACAAACACAAATGCATGTATGCAGAGCAGAATTACTTTCTCGCACCCTTCAATTCATATTTGATTCACACCAAAAACAGTCATGAATATGGTTAGGAAAGCAGAGAGCTGCTACACGTCTTGAGTAGTAATGTTTGCTTATAAGAAATGGAGTGTTCATTTTTCACAGCAACTTTCCTTTTTTACCTGGGTGACAGTGGACTGCATAGCACATGCTGTATGTTCCCGCAGCATCCTCTGGTGAAAGGATTAACACCTCCACGGAACTTCCCAGTCACCTAGACAGATGCACAATGTCATAATAAAAGTAACAGGAAATGGTACAATGTAAATAGAGTCAGAGAGGGGAACAGTGTAATGAACAAAGGTTGAACACTCTTATTACCTGCTCATTGGTGGTGCGGCCTCTAACAACCAGTACCATATGGAATCCAGTGAGGCCAATGACCGGAATGAAGAACAGTCCAGTCACACACATGACTGATATTCTGAGCACAGGTGTTAAGGTATTCAGCTTTAAGTTATATGCTTTGGGTCTGGTAATATAGTACTTTCAGGCTAATATACTATACCTTTAAAAAGAAAACTAGAAACACAAAGCGCACAGCTCACCCTTATCATGCGTCCTTGAAATCCACAACTCTCTTCTGGAGTGATAGGCTCAATAACTGTAGAGCCACCAAACAATGCTCTTCCAGAGAAATTCAAACTTTATTCCACTTGCATCTATACAAAGAACAAACACTGTTGTTCTTTGTATTGATGCAAGTGGAATAAAGCTTGAATTTCTTTGGAAGATCATGTGCTAGTTCTACAGTTTTTGATCTGTAAAAAAAAATAAAAATCTTTTTTCTTTATAGACAGGTACATTCAGAGAAGCCCAAAACCATTAGCTCATATAAACTGTGGAGCAAAACACCAAACCGTCACGCTACATCTGACTGTATCCATATTAAATTCTTTAAACCAAGAATTTGCAACTTCCAACCCTGCAGCTGGTTGGAAACTAAAAGCCTAATATCTTATGGTATTTCCTTAAAAGCAATTCATTTATTTCAACTAGTCAAAGATACCTGAAAGCCCCCATTTATGCTAGGCGTGCATGTGATGGACAGAATGTTTTACCGGGTTTGTCATGTGTTAGCATAGGGCAGCCTATTAATTTCAAAAGGCTGCCTTGTGCAAGATGAATGCGGTAACGTTTGAGTAAGGAGGAGGAGTTTGAGTAAGTTAACACAAGCACCAAGATGGTCTTGCTTGCTGTGTTAGGAGTGCAATTAAAAAATAATGGCACCACGAGCGCAACACGTGCTTTCCATGCACTGTGTGCTATCAGTTGTTGCTCTCTGTGCATAACATATTAGAACCCTTAGCAAAGTGTTGGAAAAATGTGATTCTCCATTTAAATCTGATGACCAGGTCAGATTCTATGAGCAAAGAGAAAAAGAGGCAAGCTGCTCTTCATTTTATAAGCAGAACTTTACTTTGCATTATTTGATCTTCTGAGGCTGTCTAGAGTCTGGCATCCTACGTGGCAAGCTGTAACTATACTGGGAACTGCCATCATGAAAAAAAAATGCCCTCCCCATTAAAATCTCCAATATAAGCACAGAGCTCAGATACAAAACATCACCAAGTTATCACTATGTTGGTCTGCCTAGGGCTTGGCAGTTATCATATCCTACGTTTTTCAGGAGGTCCTGAAGAAAGTTGCATTGGATTTTGGCTTAGACATTCAGATCAATGGTTATCTCTGTCCTAGGGCCAGAACATGCTGCTTGTTATTGTTTAGAAGAGGGTGCTGGCAGGCTAGAGCATTTTATGTACAACAGTACAGTTGACAGTTTTAGGTATAAAGCAACTTCCTGGCATGCTTTGCTTTCAATTCAGCTCCTTCTAAATACATCATATTCCATATACACTATATAGCCAAAGCTTGTAAAACACCTTACCATCACAGCTATATGAGATTGTTAAACATCTCATTTAAAAACCATGGTCATTAATATGGAGGCGGCCCCTTGTGACTAAAACATACTACTCTCCTGGAGAAGCTTTCTATGAGTTTGTGGGAATTTGTACCGATTCAGCAAAACAGCATTTGTGATGTCAGATACTGATGTTGGATGTGAAGACCTGGCTTTCAAATCGGCAGACCAATTCACCCCAAATTGTGTTCAATAGAGGGTCTGTGCAGGCCATTCAAGTTCCTCCACACTAAAATCTTCAAACAATCTCTTTATGGACCTGGATTTCAGAACCTTACTCAATAAATTTGAAAGGGTGCTTACTAGGGATGCACCGATACAAGCATCGGTATCGGCCGCGATACCGAGTATTTGCATGAGTACTCGTACTCGTGCAAATACTCCAAAACATAAAACGAGTACCTGTGCCGCGTCCGCCATCTTCAGGGACCCGGATCCGCCGCACACAGGACCTCCATCGTGTCTTCAATCCAGTATACAAGCCTTAGTTAGCAATGGCATGATAAATATTCATTTCATTATTCAATGTCTTTTTTTTTATATTATAAATGTTATAAATGTTATAATATAAAAAAAAAAAGACATTGAATACAGATAAAAAGTATCAGTACTCGTACTCGGCCTTAAAAAAGTGGTATCGGTGCATCCCTAGTGCTTACATACTTTTGGCCATATAGTGTATAATTATATGTAGGCTTTGAGTCAGATCCACGTTTGCAAAAGCACGTCGACAGAGTTGTGTGGTAGAAGTATGAAACCAAGACTTCTGCTTTTCTTATAACCAGATAGAAGTTTTAATTTAACAAAATATGAATCAGTTGCCTGACATGTACTGTCCAGTGGATGTAAATGTCAGCTACAATTACAATCTTTTAAAGCTCCGACTGTTGCAAACAGAAAGGCCTTGTGCAAGAGCCCCTTAAAAAATCAAGCAGTATGCAGTACTTTTACACAGACATTTTCTAATGCGCACTGATACAAACCAATAAGTCAAAATTGGAAAAAAAAAATCCTGATATTTAATAGTATTAAATAGCGTTAACTAATCTTTGCAGACAGGATACGTAATACTGGTGTGGGCCTCTCCCAGCATTTCCAGGTGGTGAAGGACAAATATGAGGCCAAATGAAAACACCCCAACCATATGTGTGCTAAGAGATAAGAGGAACAGGAAGAAATAGCGGTAGTTCCTGCGTCCTATGCAGTTATTCACCCAGGGGCAGTGATGGTCAAAGTCCTATAATTGATGAAAGAAAAATTTACATAAAACCCATAACAAAAACAGGTAGAAATGCTTCAACAAAAATACAGACTGTGACATAAAAATGAATATAAAAAAAAGGGATAATAACTATTACCTCGAAGAAGGAATTCATGAGAATACACAAAATGCTTTGTACTTTAAAAAACCTAAAACAGATTTTTTTTTTTAATTATTCAAATTATTTTTTCCCCAGATTTGCACTCATTGCGATTAGGCATATTATCCTGTGCTTGGCATGCTACATGCACCAACCCCTTCAGCAGAAAATAGAATTTAATAATGGCATGCTTTGTCTACTTTATGCTGATAATGACCTGCATTTGGAACAGTTTCTTACATGTGCATTTAGTCTCTAATATTATTTGTCACAATGCCCATCATTTCTTAACTTCATATTGCTGAACTATAGTTAACTGTGAGGGCTATAATCTAATGAATTGGCTTCATAAAACAAACTCCTCCTTTTGTAATCTGCCAATTCTAAACTAAACTTGCCCTTCAGTGATACAAAGCTGACCAACACAAAAGGTAAAATATATCTAAAGCCAAAAAACTTTTTTTTTCCATTTTGGATAGAGCAGGGAATAGCTAAAACCCTGTTTTTTGCCATCTATGTTTAATTAGTTATATTTTCACTCCACTTTCTGCCCTGTAGCCACAACAGGAAGTGAGAAATACTCTCCAAAGTGATGGAAATCCCCTTTCAG